TATTATATTATTATTCATTATATTAGCTTAACAATTCTAACCTTTAAAAATATATGTTGAGATATTAAATATCCCGTGAATATCCTCAGGATAACCATGGGACATCCCATGGATATCCCAAGATATCCTGTGGACCATTCTAGGATATCGATCTTTGATATGGATATCCTAGGGATATCCTTTTGTTATGAGGGTTATTATTAAAATAACGTAAGTTGAGTAACCTCAACAAAAATTGTTTTCATAGTTTACAAGAATATATGTATATGCGTTTTTAATTTAAAGGAAATTTTGTGCTTTCTCTTTTATACCAATTTATCAATTTTTCCTAAGCAAAAATTTACAACAGGCGAAGTATTAAATTTGAAACAGAAGAAATTTCACTAATTCAATCAGTAAACTTTATTCTAACTGATGTTTTAGTTTTTTTTGGGAATATATTCTATATGGTGGAAAATTATTTAAAAATTTTCGGATTATAACCGGAATTGTAACCACAAACGCAACCGGAATAATGAGTTAGAAAAGGACAAACAATATGTCTATCCTTCTCTAACTCATTCTTCTGGTTGCGTTTGCAATTACGATTCCGGTTACGTTTCTATTCTGCTCAGACCTTAATACATAAATTAAAAATTTAAACGGAATTCTCAAAGGATGAAATAATATCTTGAAATTTGTAAAAGGAGGGATAGGAGAGAAAGAGCTACAATCGGCACGCGCTACCACTCTTCTCTTCCTCTACCCCTCGCTCAGATCCTTCGCCGCAGGATGTCGATGCGTACTTCTTGGATCTAGTAGAAGCATTTACAATAAATAAATATTTTGCAACCGTACATTGCAGTAAAGTAAATTATGCAAAATATGTGGAACGATAATATAAAGTAATTTTCAAAAAAATAAACAGGTAATTTAGATTATTTTGTAAAATTCATGTTTTTCTTATTCTAATTTCAAAATTCGACTTTTGTTCAATAATCATCGAGATATTTCGATACTTTTTCATATGTGCTTTTTATGCACTGTCTTTTTTATAATGATGATGATGACAAAAAAAAAATTTAGGATATGAATATTCGTTGTCACGGATCAGACACACCCTATTTTAAAACCAAAATTTAAATATAGACCGGTATACGGCAAATTAAAAACATTAATTTAACTCAAATTAGTGATGTGTGTATTCAAGGGGGTAATTGTTCGGAAAAGATGAAAAACGAGAATCTCATCAAAAATACATTTTTAAAACAAATGAAATGCACACGAAGAAAAATGGAAAAAAGAATAAAGTATAACTTTTGCTATACTTTAAAAGTAAAATCGGAACTGTCCGCAGTTTCTGCGCACTTTTGGCAATTTTTACTCCAGAAATAATAAAATTTACTACTTCCGGAATAATTTTTATTATTTTAGGAGTAAATTTTACTATTTCTGGAGTAAAAATTGCCAGAAATGCGCAGAAACTATGCGGACAATTCCGATATTACTTTTAAAGTGTAGTAAAAGTTACTTTATTTACTGAAACTTTCCTAAAGATTTAATATTGAAATATTTGGAATATTTAATTGCAATGTGTAGTGAAAATTGTGTAAAGATTTAAATGTCCCGATTAAATAAAATAATGTTTAGCGCGAAACTTTCCGAAACTTCCTGAAATTTTCAGGAAAGTTTTACACTAAACATTTAGTTAATCGGGACATTTAAATCTTTACACAATTTTCACTAAACATTGTAATAAAATATTCCGAACATTTCAAATAAATTTTTAGGAAATCTTTAGGAAAGTTTCGGTGCTGTGGGGGAAGTTTACTCAGCAAACTTCTTGCAAATACGTAGTAGGTATTATATAACAACTGAATTAATTGCCATGGTAACGGTTGTTATGAAAAAACAGTTTGCAGAAAAAAACTGAACTCAGAATGAGTCGTGCAACAAAAATGAACAATAGGTTGGTGGCGCGCCACTGTCTATGTCGTTTAGCATTGGCTCATTTTGATTTGCAACAAAAATGAGACTTGGTTTTTTCTGTGTTACTATGGTAACCGTTGTTATGGAAACAGTTGCTATGAAAACAACTCCCAAGTAGAAATGTGCCACTGGCATAGTACTGACCCAACACTGCCAGTCAGTATAATAGTACTGACTGCCGTACTGGGCCAGTAGTGGACCAACCCTGGCTGGTAACGCTGTCCAGTACTGATTTTGTCCCGCTCACCAGTACTAACGTAGTACTAGAATAATACTGGCATAATACTGGCAAAGTACTCATCCGGACTTAAAATCTCACTTTTTTACAAAATGCTAAAACACGCTTTCCAATGCAAATTTCATCCTTATTAGCTTATTACTCCCATTTTTACCACGAACAGGTAATGTGAAGCCAATAATAGTTAATGTTATTTAGAATATATAAAATATTATTAACAATAAATAATTAAAATAATAATTATCATTTATATTAATTAAATTATTTTATTTTTAATAATTATTTTACAAAAAATAATTTGTGTTGTAAATTTTTTTATTTTTTTAAATTCATAATATTTAATTTTTTTTACTTTGCACTTATACTTAATTTAATAATTATTTAATAATTAATATTACACATGAACAAATATTGTACTTATAACACTTAAAACTAAGAACGAAAAATCTCGCACGCATGGGGGATCGAACCCTAAACCCTTAGAACGCAAGTCAGATACGCATACCGCACAGCCGCGCTGGCTTGAAGTGCTGACTTGAAGTAGTTCACCTAATACAAAAGTTTTGATTTCAAAGTTTGTATTATCTATTGATCACGAAAATAAAATGAATTTATTCTTAAATTTTTTAAACTCACAAAATTTTTTCAATTTTTACAAAGATTTAATGAAATAAAACTGGATATCAATTTCAGTTAAATATTTTTAATAAATTATTTTTACCGTAAATAATATTAAAACAGACCAAAATGATTGATGAATTACATAATTAAAAATAAGTTAATAAAAGACGACTGTAAAATATGAATGGTAAAAAATTTTTTAAATTTAATATTTAATTATTAATAATATTTAAAAATTACAGTGAAAAAATTACATTTGCTTTATTTTTAAAACTATTAGAAAAAAATTCTCAACTTATTGTTATTGTATGCATGATAAATAACTTAATGCACATATTTCAATGAGTACTAAAATAACTAAAAAAACATAAATATATTTTATATAGGTATATAATAATACATTACAATTACATCCAAAATTTTGAGGGAAAGTATTCGAAAGAAATTAATATACATTTTTTTAAATAAAAAATCATCGTTCTCTACCTATTGAAATAATTTAAAGACTTTTTCATTTAATGTTTTTTATCACCGACATAGTACTGATTCGGTGTGAATGACAGTGTACTGCCAGTACTGGTTTTAATATTTTTTTACCTCCGACATAGTACTGATTCGGTGTATTAGTCAGTACACTGCCAGTACTGGAAGTCAATACCGACAGCCAGTATTGGATCAGTACCATGCCGGTGTTTAATTACGGCGAGCTACGGATATTTCTACTTGGGCTACTACAGAAAGGGTTGTCATGGTAACGGTTGCTATGGCAACAGTTGTTACGGAAACAATTGCTATGACAACAACTACTATGGAAACGGTTGCTATGGAAACGTGTTTTATCCACTTGGAAGAGGCTTTGGTTTTCAAAAATGATTTTTTACTTTTCATTACATAAAATCGTATCAAACTATATAACTTCTTCTGTAATGTGAATTTATCAGAATAATTTAAACTGAAATATATAATTGTTACATAACTGCACAGTAAAAACAAAGTCTTAAACCGTTTACACCTTAAATTAAGCCCATATATTTTGCATAAGTCTGTCCTTTTTTAATTGGTCTGACTCCGTCTACACCTTAAATTCAGCCTCAAAAATAGGCTGAAATCAAGATTTCTTTTTTAGTGTGTGTTAGAAAACAGTTGAAACGTGCGTTTATGTTACACACATATATATGATATTAAAACTGCATCTTGCGATATTAACTTGATAAAAATTCCTTTATAATTTAGTTTTCGCCACGCGCAAAATAAGATCAATAAATTTAAAGACTTTTTTGAAACTTGCGCTTAGTAACAATATCGAAACACCTTTTATGCATGCGTGGATTCCTCTTCTCCACGCGCGTATATACGTATATTAGCAATTACTAATATTTATATTAATTAACGTGTGTTGAATTATAATGTAAACAGAGTTTCTTATAACGGCCTGAAGAATGTCAGTCTAGTAGCCCATTAGCGCAGTATTCTACTGGCCGGCCATTAGAATATAAGCCAGGCTTCTGGCTAACGGCCTGAAATGTCTATCGGCCTACGACATATATACCCTAACAATGTATATATATATATATATATTACGCGCCACGAATCCCTGTATGTATTTTTCAAACTTATAGATTATAAAGAAAAAAAAGAAGATAAATTTTCTTAAATTAAGGCGCGCATATGTTTCCCGCGCTTCAACTTGAATATGTAATGTATTTGGTAACAATATATTTTCAATTAAAATACAAAGCTATACTTCAGACAACAAAAGAAATTTTCTCAACATTTTCTTAAGTTGATCTACAATCTTCGAAATAATCACCTGCGCGCAGTTTTAGAATGTAGGGTCAGCCGGGGTAAATCCGCAAGCTTTTAGTATGTTTCAACAATAACATATGTTTTTTCTTTTAAAAGACAATACTTCCGGTATTCTGGTGCATGAAGTTGTTACTTTACTTCCATAGAACAATTTTATGGGGTAGCAAAATTTTTTGATAAATTACAATCGCAGGAAACTTAGCGTTCGTATTTACCTCGATACTTTGCAACTTTCCTAAAATACCGGGGTAAATACGAACGCCACTGTATTTCAGAAAAATCTTAGGGAAAATAAATATTGCTCATATTGCTCATTGCAAATAGTTGCAGATTTGTGGGTGCCCTTGCAATAGAAATATATTAAAAGCGAGATTTACATATTTATTTTAAAATTATATGTATTTTAATCCTAAAGGTTTAAATATTGTGATTTTGAAATTTTCAACTTTCGTATGAAAATGATTTCTTTAACAAAATTTTTGCTTCTATTTGTCTTTACCTTCATCATTTTAGTAAGTTTTGTTAAACAATTATTCTAAATATAAATAAAGTCATTTTTAAATTATTTTTAAATAATATATGAAGGGTAGAATGACAAAAGGGGTCAAGCGCGAATTTATCGAAAATGAGGTTTTTGCATAAAAAAATCAAGAAAATTCATTTACACATTTCTGTAGAAGGATTTCCTTTTTTATTGCGTATTTAAATCAGTTTTTAATAAAAATTAAATTAATAAAATAGCCTCAAATTTACTTTATTGCAACCTGATTGAAAAACAAAAGAAAGTGATGAGTCAATAATATTATCAAAATAAAAAAAAAATATTATTTTTTTAGGTTTTTCTTTAATATTTTATTTTAATAATATTTTAATTAATAAAATTAATAATAATAATAATGTATTTTCAATTTTAAACAATTTTAAAATCATTTTGTTATTAATTTTTAAATATTTTTATGGTTATACTAAGTGAACAATTGAATTTAAAGATGAAAGTATTGCTCAATTCCAAAGCAAGCAATTAATTCGTAATTTTTTTGAAAACAAACAATTTTTTAAAGGAATTTTTTTTTCTATTCATTTCGTCGATTCCATAGAAAGAAACTAATTTTCCAGTTTTTCTTTAAACTGTATATTTTTTTTATAATTAATGGTTAAAGAAAATGTGCGCAGTTGATATAACCTCAAGGAACCACAGTTTTTTTTAATTTTATCGTTAATATGTAGGTTTATTTCAACAAATTGTTGTTTATTTATTAAAACATACTAATATATCGAAACGGTTTTCTCAGTTTTTTTTTAAAAGACCTGCAAAATTTTTAAAAATGTTTTTTTTACTTCCTGTAAAAACAGTGAATTGGCGCTTGACCCCTTTTGTCATTCTACCCTTCATATATTTTAAATGTTTGAAATTAAACAATTTTTAGAAGAAAATTATTTTTCACTATATAAAAAATGAAAATTATTAAATTATTTTTAGAAATAATATATTGTAAACATATATATAAAGCCTATTCAACTTGATTTTCTTTATTTTATTTGTTATGCATGAAGCTTACTGATAACATAAGTTTTACTCTCTAACGTTTCACCTAGAAACAGTAAATTTAAATATTTTTTTCTTTGCATTTATAATTTGAAAATTTTTAATGTGTATTTTTTTAATATGTTTGATATTATATTTCCTTTATCTCAAAAAACTCCCGAGTAACAAGTTTGAAGTCAATTTTATGTTTTTTAATTTAAATTAATTTATTAATCAAGAAATTATAAAAAGATATTTTTTTAAATGAACTATTTTATAATTTTTCGTGTTAAATAAAAATTAATTTCTAAACGTTGATCATAAACGTTGCGTACTTCAGAATCGTAATTGATAATCAAAAATTATGTTTTAGAAAATAACTAACGGTCGTGAATCAGCTAAGTTCGTAAGTTGCAAAAATTAATATATATTTAAATTAAGCAAAAAATAATACTAAATCCGTAACTTAATTTAACAAAAAAAGAATTTATTTTTTGATTGTCTACAAATTTATAAAACAATTTCAATTAGGTACAATCGAGAAGTACACCTATGGCATGACTAATATGGTACCTTATTTTGTGAGAAACTGCATAAAAGAAGTGGAAAAACGTGGGTTGAAAGAAGATGGATTGTATTACAAAACCGGCAATGTAAAGATGATGAAAAAAGTGCTAAAATTACATTCTAAGAAGAATGTAGATTTATCGAATTTTGATATTCATGATATTATCGGAGCACTTAAAACATATCTTCGGTAAAGTTATAATTAATAAATTTAGTAAATATCTCATTTAATTTATTATTTCGAAAAAGATTTAAAAAAATAATTAATACTAATACAGAACACTGTATGGACGAATAATTAATCGAACGCATGGAGAAATGTTAATATCAGCTAATGAAGCACGAAATTATTATTATAAAGAAAAAGATATGAAAAATATAATTTCCGACTTTCAACGACCAAATCGCGATACTCTCGCTTTTTTGATTTTACATATGCAAAAGGTACTTGAAACACCAGAAACTAATCTGAAAAGCTCATATCTGGCTTCAGTTTTTGGTCAAACTTTATTCAGTAATATTGGCTTAAATGATAAAAAAATTTTAAAAAAGACTTATCAGAGAATTGAGGTAAATAAATATTCAATTTTTTTATTTTAAATATATGGAAATATGTAGACCTCCAAAAAAATATTTATTAGACATTTAAAAAATTAAAAAGTCGCTTCTTTAAAATTAAAAAAAAATTATCTGTTTTAAATAAATTTTGGTTTATTTTAAAAAATAATTCTTAACATCTTCACCACAGGGATTTTTAAACAAATGCACCGTTTATATATATATATACTATTTTGTAGGTCGTTGAAGAATTGTTAAAAATTCCATCCAGTTTCTGGAAACAGTTTGGTGAAAATTCTCCTGAAGCTTCTCCAATAGTAAGTTTATAAAAAATCTACTAGGAGTACATAACGTGTATCCTTAATTGAAATTAATTGCAAATTTATTAATTGAAAATTTTTTTGTTTATCATACATTTTATCACATTTTTTATATTATCTGAAAAAATTATGACAAAATCGATGAATAGAAATTAATAATAAAATAATTAAAAACTTAGTTCTCTAGCATTAAATTCAATTCAATTTTAAATTTATGAAAATATTAATTAAAAATATTCTGAAATTTAATTATTATTTAAAATTTTGTTCATAATTTTCAGCCATTAAATTTTATGAAAACATAATTATTAAAAATTTCTTGAAATTCAATTAGGTCAAAAAAAATCTTACTCTAATTTTTCCAAAATTCGCATTTATTTTTCCATAACTTTTATTTAAAAATTTCTCATAAATTTGAAATTTTCATTCTTATCAGATCTTCCATTTTACATTTTGACAATCTGACATCACATTTGTAATCAGCGACCCAAAAAACTTCCAGATACCAAGTTTTATGAAATATTATTAATTTTTTAAAAATTTTGAGTGCCATATTGGATCCGCCATTTGGAATTTTCAAAATCTGACTTCTGATTCATAATCAGCGACCCCAAAAACCTCTAGATACCAAGTTTTATAAAAAAATTAATAACTTTTTAAAATTTTGACCGCCATATTGGATCCGCCATTTTGAATTTTGAAAATCTAACATCAGATTCACAATCAGCGACCCCGAAAACTGTCAGATATCAAGTTTTATAAAATATTAATAATTTTTAAAAGTTATCTTGTCACTTTTTGTTTAAGGGTTTTTTTCACCCCTAGAAACCACAAACGACTTGATCTAGTAAAATGAACAGACACGGGTATTTTTTTTTACTCCTAATTTCCGAAAATGTTTGATTTTTTTTGTGGGTCAAAAATCGTGTCGGACGGTGAAATATTTGAAATAAAATTTCTTTAAAGTTTTTTTATGAAACATTTTTATTAAGCAATAATAAAATTTATTAAATTTTTAATAACATTCAATATTTTTTCTCTTTTTTAGAAAAGTGATTTAGAAGATTCAGAAGAAATTTCAGATGAATTTTTCACATTCGGTAAAAATTGTTTAATGTTTTTAACGTACATATAGAATGTATAAAGAGGCATATTTTATGAAAAAAAAATTACAAAAAAGTTTAAAGTTATTGAATTGGCTTCATATTATTTTCATGGTAGATTGGATGTTTTTTTGTATTTCTCTCAAAATTTAATCATGAATAGAGGGCATAAAATGTAATTTAAAAATAGATCTGCAAGTTTTGTGTAAAATATTTTTAAAAATTAGTTTCTTTACATTTTCTAGCAAATTTACTTTGTTGTCCTATTTAAATATTTTTGTAGTCTGTTTGGAAAAAAAGTTATTGAATATAATGTAATTTAATACTTAATATTAAAATAAAATTTACTTTAATTTTAATTTATTATTTTTTAGAATGAAGAAAGAATGAAGCTTAATAAAGCTTTCAGGAAGCAACATATAAATAAATGTATAAATAAGATTTTGCTCTTATTAATAAAAAAATTATAATTACATTAAAGTTTTTATGTGAAAGACACATGCTTTTAATTACCCGTACCTCATTCTGAAATAAATAAATATATATAAATTATAATATATCACAGAAAAAACCTAGTCTTATTTTTATTGCACATCAAAATGAGCCGCCTACACGACTCATTCTGAGTTCAGTTTTTTTCTGTGTAAATGAAAATATAACTTATTAATAAAATGATATTATCTATTGCTTTCGATTATTATTATTATATATTTAAATTCAAATCCACGTGGCTACTAACAATTATGCAGATGTTCGAATTCGAAAATTTAAATTTTGTTTAAAAAATTACTGACAAATCGTAAATTTCTTTATGCACTTTGGAAATTTAATTATTTATATCTTCTTTGTTTCAACTTACAGACAAAATTTTTTTTAAAAAAATTTTCTAAGAGCCTTGAATTGCAGGCAAAAGTTGTTTTCCAAGACGTTCAGGTCTCAAGAAGTTAGCAATGGTTAACAGGTGTGTAGCAGGTGCACCCAAGCAACAGCGCATCCAAGAGTTTTGACTGAAAAGTTTCACATCCTAGAATTGTTTGCTGTTGGTGACGATGATGAAGAAAATATTTAGAGAAAATATTGCTTCTTTTGTAAAATGTAAATAAGTTGTTCTGTAAAAAAGTCATTTAAAAAAGTTTATTTTAATTAAATTATATTTTATTCTTAAAAAAATTGATATGTAGTTTATTTACTTAATAACTTAACTTAAATAATAATTATGTTTAATCTAAAATTTTTTTAAATCAATGATTTACAAAACATATTTTCAAAAAACGCGGCGACTTTGGGCGATTTGAAAGTGTTGCGACTTTGTGCGATTTTCGTGCGCAGTACTTGCGATTTGAGCCTGGACAAGTCTGGCAACGCTGATCTGGTGCTCAGTAGAGGTGCGTCTCTCTGAACACCGGAGCCTTCCTCACTTCCTAGAAGGAGCTGTACTTGTTCCTGTAGGCGCTCCTGCGGAACAGTAACACTCTTCGCCTTCCTTCCTCCTGGTGAACCGGACTTTCTATGGGCGCTTCCGTGGAAGACTGGTGAATCTGGTTACCCACTCACTTCCACCAGGACCGTCCTTGTCGAATAGAGTCGCTCCTCTCTTGACAAAGATGATGCACTAGGTCGATTCCCCATCTCGAGGCGCTTCTCGGGTGGAGGAGACACCTAGTGAATATTACTTTGCACTAGCTTCGCGTCGGGCATAAATATTGGAACCGAATCCAATATCTAGCTTCTTCCCGATTACGAATAATAATCGACCTAGCGTGCACGACCCAAGTATTTGTCCGTACCGTCGTCTAGGGGGTAAATTCTAGAAAGTATCCCACGCGAAAGTAATATGCGTCGTCCTGATCAACATCTTCGCGAACGTGCTAAATATGTTTAAATCCGCTTTATTCTGGATTAATGACGAGAGCGATCGGAGCTCATCGAATGCTCCTCTAGAATAGCTAGTTCTTTCATCGTTATGTTTTCTAGAGATTAGTATTTTATTTGCATTGTATAGATTCTTTCGTTCTTTTATTATTTTATGTAATAATTCATTTTTTGTATATTTTATTATTCTTTTATTTAAACAATATATTCTCTTTCGAAGGTTTAAATAAAGACTCGACAATGACTACACCTCTCCTCTACATCATAGTAAGAAATAGTTCCGAAATTAATCGAAACATAAATGGCGCTTCATGCCATCTATCTAAATTTAAAGTAACTAGTCACAATAGGTACCCGGACTCCATCCGGTAAGCAAATCCTTTGGCAATAAAAGTCAGATCATTACAAGAGGAAGCATTTGAAATCTAAAAGTCTTCTTTTGGGTAAGATAAAAATTTAATAATAATAATGTTGTAATTAATACATAAATAAAAAGTGAATAAAATAACTACAATAACAGGGTGTCCAGCGGTCAGGGGAATTAGGGAAAAGTCAGGAAATATATTTAATATTGTCCAAAGATAAAAATAATATAATATAATAATATTAATATTTAAATAATAATATTTTCTGAATGTTTTAATTAAAAATTCAATTCCTCATTTTAATTAATTAAAATTCAATTATTTCAAATTTTAATTAATTTAAGTTTCAATTATTCCGAACGTCAATCAATTATGCCACATTTTAATTAATTAAAAATGTAATTAATCCAAGTTTTAATCAATTAAAAATTCAATTTTATTCCAAGTTTTAAACAATTAAAAATTTACTTATTAAAAATTTTAATCAATTTAAAAATTATTTATTCCAAACATTAATCTATTCAAAATTCAATTAATCCACATTCTAATCATTTAAAAATTCAATTATTCCAAATTTCAATCAATTCCAATTTTTTACATATAAAAATATTGAAAATGTTGCTGAGTTCAATTATTGAAAAGTTAATGTTTATTTAATATCTAAAATTAATAGTCAATAAAAAATTTCTTTGCTAATAAAATAAATTTGAATAGTAGAGAGAAAGAAAGTCAGAAAAAAGTCTGCGAAAAGTGTAAAAAGTCAGGGAAAAGTAAAGGAATTTTTTTTTCAAGTTTCGCTGGACACCCTGAATAAGAAATAAAATCATTTATTACTGTTCATTATTAGTAACTTACACAGCCCTGCAAATTTGGACTTTTTTGTGCAAATAAGATGGCTTTAGGTGTTTCCGAAGGCATTTTGCGCGCTGAACACAAATCTGGGTTCAAAAATTTTCCACCACGTCAGATTTTCGAGAAAAAGGGGGTTGAAACCCCTAAAAATAGCGTTTTTGGCCATTTTTGAAAAATTGTAGAGCTAAACACCGACGTGCTAGAACCATCGCTATTGTCAGAAATTGACAATCAATCTTTACTCTTTAAAATGAGCCCAAAGCCAAATTGATTGCATTTATGTCAAGGGGTGCAAGAGAAAAAGAAACTCATTACGGAGGTCCTTAAAAATTAATCAGATTTACTTGAAAATTGTTACTCAGGGGTTTTTAGGTTCGCTGATTACAGATCTTCATTCAGATTTAAAAAATTCAAAACGGCGGATTTCTTTAAATGAACTAAGAACTAACTATGAACCTCAACCACCATATTGGATCCGCAATTTTGAATTTTTTAAATCTAAATGAAGATCTGTAATCAGCGACCCCAAAAACCCCTGAGTAACAATTTTCAAGTAAATCTGATTAATTTTTAAGGACCTCCGTAATGAGTTTCTTTTTCTCTTGCACCCCTTGACATAAACCCACCCCCTGCTTTAAGGGTGTATGCAATCAATTTGGCTTTGGGCTTATTTTAAAGAGTAATGATCAATTGTCAATTTCTGACAATAGCGATGGTTCTAGCACGTCAGTGCTTAGCTCTACAATTTTTCAAAAATGGCCAAAAACGCTATTTTTAGGGGTTTCAACCCCCTTTTTCTCAAAAATCTGACGTGATGGGAAGTTTTTAAACCCAGTTTTGTGTTCAGCGCGCAAAATGCCTTCGGAAACACTTGGATCCATCTTATTTGCAAAACCCATGTAGGGCTGTGTTATTCAATATGGATAATATTTTATGATTATTATTATATAAATAACCTGATATAAATAATACTTGTAATTATATAGTCTTTAAATCTATAATCTAAATTAATTATATAATCTTGTAGATAGAAAAAAAGAGAAATCAATGGAATTTTAAAGAATTGCGGAGGAAAGCGTAACTTCCTTTTTGGAAAGAGATGAAAATTCGGCATTAGCTCCAGGGTCAAAAGATGTTATAACAAAGAAGAAAATAGTTAAAAGTAAGCGATATTTATTAGACACTTTGTCAAATCTATATGAAAAATATAAACAAGAAGAGTTGTTTAAAATGTCTCGGGCTACTTTCGTGCGCTTAAGACCCTTTTGGATTGTTCAGAAGAAAATAACTGACCGCGAGACATGTTTGTGTACACAGAAAAAACCTGAATTCAAATTGAGTATAGATTCTATACTCAATTTGATTCGCAACAAAAATGAAACTGGTTGTCTCATTTCGAGTTCTAAGGTAAAAGTATCAAAATGAAACAGGCAAGTTTCATTTTGAGAAAAAGAAAAATGGAAAAATATTGTGAAATAACGAATAATTTTGCACAAAAACATGAAATATAATAATTACAAAGAAGTAAATAACACGCTAGACTTAATATATTTGATTAAAAATTGCTTGTAATCGCGTAATAAAATAATAAAGGAAATATGTTTTTAGGTTAAAAAAATGAAAACATGTGTTTTGACAACAGGAACTGTACTGCCAACTTAAATAATAGCGGTAAATTTAAAAACTTATGAAATTAATTATTATCTACGTAAATAATAATAAATAATTTTTATTTAAAAACTTCTAAATATTCGTACTGGTCAAAATAATCTTTCTGGTGTTGTTGAAATATTAGAAACAATAATTGAAATACAAAATTACTCTGCTTATGATGCCAACTTAGAAATCTGAAATTCCAGCCAATATCATTTTGAATAACATGAAGTTTGTCCCATACTCATTTCGATACCCAAAAGAAAATGAGTTGCAACAAAAATGAGTCCAAGTTTTTTCTGTGTAAAGCTCATGCGAATTTCGAATTTCTTGTAAAAAAAATTATCACAGTTTCACGTTTTGCCTACTGGTAACACAAGAAGTTTTCTTCAGTCTTTAAATTGCGATACGAATAAGCAATACTGCATGTACGGGAAATGTCCTAATTGTAATGCCAAAATCTAAAAAAGAAAAGATTGAATGTACCGTAAATGATATTATTCAGGAATTGAATTTAACTATACCAGCTTTCTTGAAGCACTCCTTTGATACTTGGCACCAGTATAAAGCTTTAGCAGAAATGAATTCTAATTTAAAACTTAATGAAGTAAAAATTGTCATTGCACGGAGAGAAATAGATGGTAAGAACTTATGATCTTAAGATGGTAAAAAGTAGATGTTATCCGGTACTATCATTATGCTACTCGGTACTATCAATGATGTTACAAAAAGTATGGTTATGTTACCCACTACAATCAAGATGTTACTCCGTACAATCTGGATAGTAACTATATTGCCTTTATCTCGAATACCATTAGCTTTACTGTTAGGTAAGAAGTATTGAGAATCAATTTAATTATTTTGGGCTCTTTTCCCTCATTCATCCAACCACTGTAAAATGTTTTCAAAGACCTGAAAAATATAATAAGAAAAAGATATTAAAAAAGACATTAATAAACATCCCTGTGGGCAAAAAACCATGTTCGTTCTAAAAACGTTTTAAGGACGTTTTTAGAACGTTTCATGTCCGCCAAATAATGTTCTGGAACATTTTAAGAACATGGATGTTCAAATAATGTTCCAGAACATTATTTGGTGGACATGAAACGTTCTAAAAACGTTCTTAAAACGTTTTTAGAACGAACATGGTTTTTTGCCCACAGGGATATAAGATATTTATCATTTCAAGAGTACTTTAAGATAAATATATACCTTAAAATCGTTACAGCCTAGAGGTGCAATTCTGTATTAGTAGATGTACGATTTAGCGCATAAGTTTTTTAATCGCGGTTCTTATACTCTATAAAAGTGTCAACCATTTGCTACGGAGTAGCTTAAAATCTGTAATAAATAATGATTTTTTTAACTTTTAATGATTATTGTAGAATCACATGACCTTAAATCGAAGATCCTAAAAACCCTTAAAGAATCTAGTCAACTATTTCTATCACTTGGATCGCAAAATTACAATTTAATGATTATCGCAAGATTGCTCAGTAAGCTTGTAGCAACGTTAGTGCAAGATTGCCAAATAACCTTGTTTTGAACCTAAAAAAAATTTTTTTTAATGTTTCGTTTAATTTATATAATTTTATTATAAATAAATTTTGTTATACAAATTAGACGAAACATAAAAAAAAATTTTAGGTTTAAAGCAAGGCTATTTGACAACCTTGCACCAACCTTGCTACAGGCTTACCGTGCAAGCTTACTGAGCAATTTTGCGATAATCTTATTGTGCAATCTTGCACTAACCTTATACTGCAATCTTTCGGTATGCTTACTATGCAAGATTTCAACGTGAATATTTTCACCTGGTATAATAACTCTTAATAATTTTAATTATCACACAGACTTTTGAAAACGTAAGCACCCGAGGTCCTAATTATAACCTCATTTTCTTCAAATTAGCAGATTAAGCAGAATCTCATCTAATATTCCTAATCCTTCGATAACATTTTTATGAGTCAGTTTCTGTAACTATATATACTTGACATCAATTCTTCCATGTTGAAAGACCTGCATTATAAAATGATGCTTGATGTTCATAAATAAAATGAATATAAATATATGATATATATGATATAAATAAATGAATTTTTTAATAAAAATCTGAAGTTTGATTTTTATGAGCGAGATACAAATCGAAAAATATTAACAATAAGTTTTGTGCAAATGCATTATAAAACTGAGTTAAAAAAAATTACCCTATTGAAAATCCCCACATGCGATCCTATATATATATGATTCCATATAGGTTCCTTTATATAAATTGTTATGAAATCCTAGGTCCACATAGGAATCCACATAAAACTCCATGTAAAATCATATATGATATTGGGACACAATTTGGTGTATGATTTCATGTAGGAATTTATGATGTTGTTTCTACATTGAAATCTATGTGAATTCCTACATTATTTTCTACAATTTTTCTGGCATATTATTTTTGTCAATTTCATTCATAATCAACTCACATCAAATGTTATAAAAAATATATAAAATTCTAAAGATTTCCTAATATGAGGTCTTACATACAAGTGTTAATATAGGAAACCATATGGGATTTCTTACATATGATTTCACATGGATTTGAACATAGGAAATCACATGGGATTTCATGTAGATTCTGAAATATCAACCTAAGATTTCACATGGATTTATATATAGGAAACAATATAGGATTTCATGTAGTAAATTTCAGTTGACTGCTTTATGTAGAAGGCAGTTAACAAAAATAAAAAATTATTTAATTAAAAATTAAATAATATTACTGCAATTTATCTGAAAAAAAAAAATTTGTGCTTTGCAAAACACCTTCTGAGTTAGAGTCTCAGCTTATATAGTATTCAAGAATGATCTCAACTATATAGAAATCCATGTGAGAACATATATACACGGAGAGAAATCTGCTGCGATTTGCGCATGAGCAAGTCCATAGGAATATAGCATGGACACTTCCAAGCAAAAACCATAAGATTCCATCTGAATATCAGGTGAGACTCATACAATAATACCTCGCTCACTTAGGATTTTTGCTTGAAAGCGTCTGTTACTATATTCCTAAGGACATGCTCATGCGTAAATCGCACCAGATTTCTCTCCGTGTAGGATCTTATAAAAGATACTACATACGATTCTACATGGATTCTTACATACATGACGGTATTCCTATATAGTGAATTCTTACATGAGATCCTATGTAGGAATCCATGTGAGAACATATACAGGATCTTATGTAAGATACTACATAAGATTCTACATGGATTCCGTAATAATCATTTTTATGAAATTTTTTTCTCTTTAAAAAGAATGAAATCATTAAAAAATATTTCTGTATAAAAAAAGTTGTAATTATTATTGCAGAATTTAGAAATACTATATAAAATCATTTATCTATAAGAAATAAAATGTTTTTAATTCACAGTAAATACATTACATTTTTTAATGTACATAATAAAGAATTTCGTTCACAAAGTAAAAATATTTAAAAATTTTAGTACAAATTCAATCCCTTAAGATTGTATAGCGCAAGGCATTATAAGAATTCTATAAAAGTAAACATAATCTAAAAGAAGTGAGCATAAAGCAAGTAGATTGGTATGTCTCTAAAGATCGGATTGCAAAGTAACTGCAGTAATTTCAATTATTTCTTCCCGACGTCACAAGGGTTTGGAAAATTCTCCACACTCACAAAGAGCTGAGTGTAGCTCTTTACGATCCACCTGATTACTTATCGAGTGCTCACTGAAACAGAAAATATAATTTATATATTACTTTTAAGTAATTTTAAATTATTTTAAATTACAAATTTTTTAAATTTATAACTATAACGTATGCATAGTAAACAAATATATATGTACATTTTATTAACTCTCCCTGTCATTAAGAAGGGTTCGATGATTCATTTACAAAAAAATTTGACTTAACTTAATACTATATTTACAAAGCACACCTTATTTTAGTAATTAACCTAATTTCTATAAAATCATACAGTTCCTTTTGCCCTTATATTGTCTTTGTCTCAATTAACACCCACCATTTTATTTTAACCATTTACTCTCTTTTCCCTTCATCTCTACTTCTAATTACACTCCAACTATACTTGGACCTCCCCTATGTTGTAATTTACTTCTCATATTTGCCTATATCCATCCAAACACATTCTCTACTCATCCAAACTTCATTTCCTTTCATTTTCTTTACTTTTGTTTTTGCTTCCAATGACCACCTTATTCTTCACAGAAAAAACTGAACTCGTTTTTAATTCATCTCATTAAGAGATCTGCATCAAAATGAGTGAACAGATAACTTCACGTTACTCAAAATAAACCTGAATAGAAAAACTGTAAAGATACATATAAGGTTACCCCCACAGCACCGAAACTTTCCTAATAAATAGGAATAGTGAAAATTGGCGCAAATTTGATTATCATGGTGAAAACCATGTAAAACCAACAACCACCATCATCATGGTGTTTTTTACGGTTTTCACCATGATAATCAAATTTTCACTATTATTCTCGTAATCAGCACACCAAAATACGTTCCCAGTAAAAAAAAAGAATTAGGAGTAAGCGAAAAGAATTGGCAGTGACTTAAGCTAAATTCGGTTTCGCGTCTAAACCGAATTGTGACGTTACGGTGAATTCTATTTTTCATACCTTGAATTCTTTTTACCTGAATCGATTGAATTTACGTTTGTTAATTCGAGTTGGCATTATAAATGAAAGAAGTGATTGTTCTTAAGTGTAAAAATGCCGATTACGAACAGGAAATATGAAATTTTGTTAAATTGTGAAAAAGATAAATTTGACAGGCATATTTCCTGTTCGTAATCGGCATTTTTACACTTAAGATCAATCACTTTTTAATTTATGATGCCAACTCAAATCAATAAACGTAAATTCAAACGATTCAGGTGAAAAGAATTCAAGGTAAGAAAAAAATAATTCATCGTAACGTCCCAATTCGGCTTAGACGCGAAACCGAATTGAGCTTAAGTCACTGCCAATTCTTTTTTTTACTGGGTTAGTATACCAAGTTTGATTCAAATCGGAGGTGGACCTCTTTCGGAACTTTATTCATAATATGTATCAGAAACAGAATCCCATAATAAAAGTAAACATTATACTCTAGCGCTATTTTAATTTTAACGTAGTTTTATTGTCAGCTCTTGAAGAAGCACATAAGGCTGTCGTAAGGACACGAAAGACAAAAGCCAGGACAAGAAAGGTACGGACAACAACTTTTTTTTGAATTTTTTTTAAGTTCGGTTCTTTTAATTTTTTTCTAAAGCTAAAAATGTGTATTTTCACCACAAAAAATATTGAGATGTTCTTTTTTGTTATTTTCGAGATATTAATTAATTAATGTTAATAAAAAATGAGATATTTCACAGATAAATAAAGTTATTCCAATCCTGAAGGTACAAATTGAAAGCCCGATATGGACTATTTTGGATTAGAGGATTTTTTTATAAAGAATTGCAATGTTAGCCAATTGTTTATTAACAATCCACTAATCCAAAGTACTTCATATAGGGCTCGTTGGATGCAGAATTTTGTGTTCTTTCATTTAGTAACTTCAGAATTACGATACCTTTATTCGTTTATAAAATATATAATTTTTTATTAACATTAATTAATTAATTAACTAATATCTCGAAAATAACAAAAAAGGACATCTCAATATTTTTTGAGGTAAAAAGGAACATTTTTAACTTTCAAAAAAATAATAAATTTTAAAAAAAGACCGAACTTAAAAAAAAAGTCAAAAAAAATTTTGATTTTCAGAAAAAAGGGTCAAAATTTCAATTTTTTGGAAATTTTTTTGCACCATTTGAAAGAGCAGGAGAAAACCTTTCGAAAACATATAGGACAAATTTTTTTCTTCTTTCTGTTTAAAAGTTACAAGCGTCTTCAAGTATTCACTGTTTAAACTTTTTCAAAAAATTTCAACATCCTCCCTCTCTGACAGTTTTTGAAAGAACCTAACAATACTTCGTGGTTAAATTACTCACCCCTAGGGCTAAACTATGTGCAAGTTACAGCCCGATCCGATCAACTTTTTTTTCACTTAGTTCGCTACAGGAATTTTACCCCATATATAGAATCCTACGCGTATATTTAATATTTTAGAATCTTGTAAGGTTTAATAATCATTTACATTATTATTTATTCACTATTATTGTGTTATTAATTATTATCATACTAAAAAACGTTACCTCAAATCATTAAGTTTATGTTTTCTGATATCTCTTGGAGGCTGTCTTGGAGAAGGTACAGAGCATCTGCAGTCACAATGCATAACACAGAGGGCCACACTAGTTGCCAATGTCACAACAAAAGGTGCAGCGAAGAAATGCATAATTGTAGCAACTTGTGTTTCACGACTGTAATCTGCCATTACTATACTTAAGTTAACTCGACTATAATAACAAGGAAATTTTATACCCTCATAACCCAGTTCTCGAGTGAAATTTTCACAATCAACTGATGGCGGATATCCACAACCTTTGATGTTTACCATTAGGACAGCTTCTATTCCAAAAGTATTTGCTGCGAAATTTTAAATTTAATTAACACAGTTTCCAATTATTTCTAAGTCATTCTTTCCAATTATAATAACGTTTAACTCCGCAAACCACACATAATCTAATTTATGCGCAAGCAAAGAATGACAAAACACAATAATATACAAAGATTAATTTTAAGAAAATTTTATTTAAAATTTATGAAAAAAGCTGGTTTGTTTAATGTGCCAACTAAAAAGCTTTAATGGATGATGTTTAATTAATTTACAATCCTATGGATTAAATCATTGAAAGTGAAAAGTGAAAAGAAATAATCAGAATTCAATGTTGGAAACGGCATTTGAAAGCTTATTTTATCACCTTTCAAATGCTTTTTTGAAAATTGTTGTACGATAATTTTTTAGAAGGATATGATAATTTATTTTTAAAAACAACCTTTTTTCAATTGTTGATAACTTAAGAACTATTGACTTTTGAAGAAAATTGTTAAGAGAAAAAATGTTCTTTTTTGTGTGTAGAATTAGGAAAAAAATATTTAAACAATGATTACAGTGGAACCTCGATTATCCGAACCCTCTATTATCCCAACCGAAAAACATTTTATCCGAACTTCTATTATCCGAACTATTTTTTGGTTTCCTGAATTTTAAATTTTATTTTCTCTATTTATTTTATCATTCATTCATTTCTGAGAAGAATGCGTGATTTGGCATCTAAAAAACGAATAGATGCTATCTTTCAAAGCAAAATAACCAAATTTATGCCAAAAAAATCTTAAAAATTTCCGAATTTTCTGAGTTTTTAGTATATTATTAATTAATATATATTTACATGTATGTATATACTTATGTATATTTAAAAACATATGTATTAAGTTAAATATATAGTTCAACTGTACATTTTTTTACTTTAATTATAAAAAAAATTAAAATCTCTATTATCCGAATTTTCGATTATCCGAACCCGGCCTTGCCTAGATTAGTTCGGATAATCGAGGTTCCACTGTATGTATAAAATAATACTGGAATAAATATTGGGATAATTATTATTGGAATAACTACTGGATTAATTACTAAAAATTCCAGTAATTTTTTTTGCAAGATGTATTTTTTCGTAAGAATTTGGGTTACTAATTTTATAATATAAAAAGTTTATTTAAAAAAATATAAAACGATGTGTGTTCTAGAACTAATTTAGATCAAAATTTTCTAAATTATATAATTATACAGCTAAATCAAGTTATTAAGATTTCGGTATTAAAATTGATCCTAACATTCATGCTATAATCTTTAATGTAGCAAATTTTTTCTGACAGAAATAAGCAGACTTATGAGTGTTGAACGGTCTCTGATTTTTTTTGGCAAAGAGAGATTTTTAATGATCACTTTATAAAAACAGCACTGAATGTGAAAATGATAAACATTCATTTTAAAACACTTGTTTCTCAAAACATGAAAACTTTTTACAAAATCGAGCAACATAACAGGATTCTTATCTTATAAATTTCCTAAATCCAAAAGAATATCTGAATCCATGCAAAAACGCGATTTTGCCTATTTACAATTTTGCAAACTCGTTTTTGCATGAATTCGGATAATATTTCGGATTTAGGAAATTTATAAGATAAGAATCCTTGGTATGCTGTTCGATTTTATAAAAAAAAAGTGTCCATATGTTTTGAAAAAAAAAATGTTTTAAAATCAATGTTTATCATTTTCGCGTTTAGTGCTATTTTTATAGAACGATAATTAAAAATCTCTTTTTAGTCAAAAAAATTCAGAGACCGTTCAACATTCTTAAGACAAATTAGCAAGCATATGATGAAGATTGTGCATAATGATTTTAAAACTACTTGGGATAAAAACAAGCGTTTACTCATAATCATTCGTATTATGAGAAGAAACTTTTGCCAGCTAAATAAATCATTTTCATAATTGAATTTGATAAATAAGTTATCTCAATTATAATATCCAAAATAATATTATAGACTATGAAAATATTTTCATAATTGTACATGCATATATATAATAATAATTAAAAAAAAATTTTATTCTTATTATTTTTTAATAGTTATTATTATTATTATTATTTTATTTTTAATAATTAAATTAAAATAAAAGAATGGTCATCACAGTATTAGTGAAACCATTTCTTTCAAAAAAGAGTTAGTCTAAAATCCAATAAATAGGAGAGACATCGGGCAGAAAAAAATTTCGACGAGAAAAAATTTTCGATCACTGCTTATATACCAATCTAATGGCACCTCAACTGCGAGAAACAGTTATGATGTTCGCCCACCCTGTGGCGTTGAGCGAACTAAAGTTCAGAACTGAGCCATAAGCGCAGCGCGGGAACATTTGAAAAATTTGATTTTAATTAGATATTTTATTTTATTTTAAATATGACAAATAATTAATTTAATATATAATTATTAATAACATAATGTCATACTTAATAATTAGTCAATTAATTTTTTCAATGAAAATTTGCCAAAACAAAATTTGTGGCAAAAAAAAATATTACGATAAAGAAAATAATTTTTTTTACAGAGAAATTTTGACAAAAAAAATTATTTTCTCCTCGTTGTATTTTTTTGGGCCACAAATAATTTTTTACTGAGAAAATTTAAAAATAACTAAATTTCTCATCGTAATATTTTTTTTGACCACAAATTTTTTTTGGCAAATTTTCGTTAAAAAAAATTAATTAACTAATTACAAAGTATGGCATAATGTTATTAATAATTATTTATCACATTAATTATTTATTAAGTTAATTAGGGTCAACCGGGGTAAATCCGAACGCTTTTCGTAAGTTTCAACAATAACATAAGTTTTTTCTTTAAAAAAAAAAATACTTCCGGTATTCTGGTGCATGAAGTTGTTACTTTACTTCCATAGAACAATTTTATGGGGTAGCAAATTTTTTTGATAAATTACAATCGCAGGAAACTTAGCGTTCGTATTTACCTCGATACTTTGCAACTTTCCTAAAATACCGGGGTAAATACGAACGCCACTGTATTTCAGAAAAATCTTAGGGAAAATAAATTTAAAGTATTGCAATTGTTAAACTTATATAAAAACTCAAAAAAAATACGATAATAAACCTATTATGTAATAATGCATCATATATAAATACAAAAATCAAACAGGTTAAAAATTAAAATGCATTACACAATTAAAACCTTCAATAACTTTATCAAATCATAACGGATTTTTGCAAAACTTGGTACAGAAAGTATTTTAGAGTGATTGAATGTAAATACAAAAATAAAAGTCAAATTTTTTAAATTCAAAATGGCGGACTTTCCTAAAACTTATTTTTAAAAATGATGACCCTGAAACCCCCCGAGTAACAATTTTCGAGCGAATCCAATGAATTTTTTAATTCTCGTCCGCCATTTTGAATTTTGAAAAACTGACTTCAAATTGGTAATTACCCAGGTGCGAATTTCGGTCGGCCGCCAGAGTTGGTTCGTCGGCCCATGGTCGGCCCAACTCTGGCTGCCGACCGGTCGGCAGCCAGAGTTGGGCCGACCATGGTAAATATTTGCACCCAAAGTTGGGCCGACTATGGCTGCCGACGTCGGCAGTCACAGTTGGGCCGACCATTGCAGCCATAGTTGGGCCGACTATGGGGGATTATGGTCGGCACAACCTTGGCAGCCATAGTTGGGCCAACCTTGGCTGCCATAGTTGGGCCGACCAGGGGGGGTAATGGTCGGTCCAACTATGGCAGCCACAGTTGGGCCAACCATGGCTGCCATAGTTGGGCCGACCATGGGGGTAATGGTCGGCACAACCTTGGCAGCCATGGTTGGCCCAACTGTGGCTGCCATAGTTGGGCCGACCATTCTTCCTCATAGTCGGTCCAACTATGGCAGCCACAGTTGGGCCGACTAAGGGGAAAATGGTTGGCACAACCTTGGCAGCCATAGTTGGGCCGACCATGGGGGACAATGGTCGGTACGACCTTGGCAGCCAAGGTCGGTCCAACCTTGGCTGCCATAGTTGGGCCGACCATTCTTCCCCATAGTCGGCCAAACTATGGCAGCCACAGTTGGGCCGACTAGGGGGAGAATGGTCGGCATGACTTTGAAATCATCAGTGGCGAATCCTCAAGTGTAATAAAGTTTGGAGAAATGTGTTAAGTTATTTTTTTCCAAGAACTTTTCAACCAACTTTATTATTATTTTTTTATTATTATTATATTGTACTGAAGCCATTTTTAATTATTAAAATATAAATACATAACAATTTACACGCAAAATTTATTTCCAATTGACTTTTTTTTTACCGCATGTATCAATAATAATAGAATAAACTATCAATTAGTAAAAGCTCAAAGTATCTAAAATAAAAATTTATTTAATTGTTACATAATTTTTATTTATTTTGAAATTAAAAGTTTTATATAAATAATTTTCTTATCTAAATTGTTTTATTTTTAGATTAATTTTTTTTTCATTATTATAATTAACATTTTATTTTTATTTCAATTTTCTGAAGAGACAGTCGGCCCGTCCAAGGCCCATAGTTGGGCCGACCATCATAAAGTAAATTTCTCTCCTACCATTGACAAATGTAAAATGTTTTTGTTAATTTACTTGTAATTGATTAATTTAAAAAGAAAAAAGGTTATATGTGATTAATTTATTATTTTGAATTACTAACTTTAATTTTTTTCAAGCTGTAGCTTATAACATTTATTTTTCTCCGTGACTCATATGTCATTGCGTAGTGTAGTGGTTAGCGTATTAGACTGCGGTGCGTTAGGTTGCGAGTTCGATCCCTGCGAGCGTTAAAAATTTTAATTTGTATATATGTATGTTTACGATTGCGTTTAGTGTTTAAGTATATAAAATAAATGTATAATGAATTTAAAATGATTACTAATATATGTTATTTGTATAACAAATTTTTATATTTTAATGTTTATGGTCGGCAAAATTTTAGCTGCCAAGGTTGGCCCAACCATGGCAGCCATAGTCGGGCCGACTATGGCTGCCGACCGTCAAGTTGGATGGTCGGCAGCCAAGGTCGGCCCAACTATGGTACCCATAGTTGGCCCGACTTAGTCGACCATAGGTCGGCCGACGTTATCAATTCGCTAGTTGGCCCGACCATCGGCAGCCATAGTCGGGCCGACCAAGGCTGCCATAGTTGGGCCGACTATCATAGCCGACGGTCGGCAGCCATAGTCGGGCCGACCATGGCAGCCATAGTTGGGCCGACCTCGGCTGCCTTAGTCGGGCCGACTATGGCTGCCGACCGTCAAGTTGGATGGTCGGCAGCCAAGGTTGGCCCAACTATGGCTGCCATGGTCGGCCCGACTATGGCTGCCGACCGTCGGCAAGGATGGTCGGCCCAACTAGGGCAGCCTTGGTCGGCCCGACTATGGTACCCATAGTCGGTCCAACTTAGTCGACCATAGGTCGGCCGACGTTATCAATTCGCTAGTTGGCCCGACCTCTGGCTGCCCGAGGTGGGCCGACCATGCACATGGTCGGCCCGACCATGGGCCGACCGACAATTCGCACCTGGGTAGCGACCCCAAAAACCGTTGAATACCAAATTTTATTAAGATCCTGAAAAACTTTTTTCAACAAACCATTTGGCAAAAAAATTGAAACACTCCTTCGAGAGAACAGAGATTAAGTTTCTGCTTATTAATTACTAACGAGGATACGTATAGAAAGAAAAACTTTTTTCTATGTACTTTTATAATGTTAAAATAATAGTGTAATCAAATAAAAACAATTTTGTGTGGCTCTGATGTAAAAAAAAATTATTGAAAATACCGTTCGGATTTACCCCGGTTTTCCAATTTTCCTGGGTAAATACGAACGGTCTGATATTATTAATAAAATTTTACAGAAGGCAAAAATGAAAAATAGTTTCTGTTCTAGTATTCATAACAAACAATTATAAATAATAAAATAAATTTTTAGCTTCTTTTTCTTCAAATACGAGACAAAATACTGAAAGAGTGTCATCTTTGATTTTCAATCTTTTTTGCAATACTCGTTATCTTTGTTTATGCTGTTGCTAATTAACAAACGAAAAATAGGATAATACTTAGAATCTCTTGAAGAGGATCTGAGGTAAAAATTCTCATATCGAACTTATTTTTAAAAATTTTAATTAAGCTGAAATAATTAGCGTTCGGATTTACCCCCCGTTCGGATTTACCCCGGCTGACCCTATTTGTCATATTTAAAATAAAATAAAATATCTAATAAAATCAAATTTTTCAAATGTTCCCGCGCTGCGCTGATGGCTCAGCTCTGGACTTTAGTTCGCTCAACGCCACAGGGAGGGCGAACATCATAACTGTTTCTCGCAGTTGAGGTTCCATTAGATTGGTATATAAGCAGTGATCGAAAATTTTTTCTCGTCGAAATTTTTTTCTTCCCGATGTCTCTCCTATTTATTGGATTTGAGACAAACTCTTTTTTGGAAGAAATGGTTTCACTAATAATGTGATGACCATTTTTTTTATTTTAATTTAATTATTAAAAATAAAATAATAATAATAATAACGATTAAAAAAAAATAAATTTTTTTTTAAATTATTGATTTTTTAAATTATTATTAAAATTTTTATTATTGGCTAATTATTGGTTGCCAATAATTTGCCAATGATGGTTGCCAATCATTGGCATCGGCGAGGTCAGCCCTTGACTTTACCAATAATGATCCATTATTGGGTGCCATTATTGAAATTATACTGGCATCCCTAGCTCCCATTATTGGTCCATTAATACGCCAATGGTATTTTTCCCATTGGGAGGGTTCTACTGTAGTAAAAAATTTATTAATAAATCACACAGATCTAATATTGCATGCATACTAAAGACGTACATGCAAAAATACACACTCACACACATACACTCTTTGGAAACTGTGTTTTACATACTCATCATTGAGCTAGTGGATAGAGTTGAAAGTAAAGAAGTGTCATTTGTGATGGTTTCATTTGTAACACTTGAATTTGACCACGGATCATAAGTTACGTATATATGAGTACACTTGTATACATCACTGGTGCAACCTTCTCTACAAGAACTCCAGGTACAATTGAACAAACCAGCAAGATCTTCTCTTCGTAAAGTAGTACATGTGACTGGTTCAGGGGAAAAATCGGCGGCTAATGTACTTATTGCTGGATCAACATATAATGGCACCAAGAAGAGTAGAGCAGCACCACCTGATGTAGCAACCAAGGCTAATGCAGATGTGGCATAAAAATTAAAACGTTGACGAAATGTACGTCGTGGAGGACGTCGACGAGATGTATTAAATCCAAATTCTAATAATTTATGACGTCGTTGTTCTTGGTCCTTTAAATTGCAATTATCTAAATTATTTTGGCACTGACTACAACTAGCATCCAATAGAAGTTCAGAACTACTCCCGTGCATTCTTACTGGCAGACTGGATACAATTTTTATATTGTTTAGCAAATTTAATTTAAATCGATTAAATGTTTTTAACATGTAACATTATATAAATAACGCTATTTCTGATGAACATGTCTTAATTTATCATCTTACATGACTTAAATCATTTATAGACGTAACTTTTCTTCTATTCAATAAAATCACCATTGCATTATTTGAAAATATTCCGTGTATACATAATAAATTCTTCATATCTTATATGCATATATTTCTACATACTCATGTATATATATGTATTATTGATGGACGAGCATTAGAAGGCAGTGAATATTTGTTAATATATTATGTTTGTATTGTCTTTCAATTACTGCAGTAACTATTTCCTAAACAGAGAGTATTTTATGGATCTTATAATTCTATTCAATTTCTTATTTTCATATTTCAATATTTCTTTTTTAATATAAAGATGTAAAAAAAACTCGTAGAGTTATAACAATAAAATATCAATTCCTTTTATATTCTTTAAAACATATTAATCGTTCTCATAAATATTTTTTGTTTTATTATAAATCATTCAACATTAAAAAACCAAGCATATTCGAAATTATTGAGGTCAATATACCTCAATTAATCATAATTATCAACTAATAGTAATTTGCACAAGTGTTTACTAATAGATGGTTTCAAAGAATAACTAGAGTTATACAACTTCTTTTTAAAAACAAACATTTTTTGTTATCAATACTTTAATAGTAACATGTTAACACTTGAATATTTTTATGATGTCATCTATATTATATTTGTAACTCCTTATGCATTGTCCACTTTTGAGATCATTTTTTTTACATATAATATCAAATACAAGAAATCTATTGATTCTTTACATTAATTTAGAAATAGTTAATACACTTCCAGTTTTTATAATATAGTATATTATATAATAAAACTTAATGTAGTCAAATTTAATGTCACATGAATTTTTATTTAATTTTCTAGTTAATACACTTCCTATTTTTTATTTATCCGTTAAGTTACATTGTGAAAAATTAATGTAATTATAGTGATACTTGTCAAAGTTTTTTAATAATATGATTAATTCTATTATTATTGAAAAACATAGCGGTAAATATTATACCGCATTTATATAAATTTGAAACTATCAACTTTACACGATTCTCGAGTTAAAATGCGACTGCCCTCACTGATTTACCTTTCTTGGTATATACTTCGATAGGGCGGGGTTGCTTTAACGCGTGCGCCACCCTACTCACCCAGATATTTCATTGTTTACAATTTTCAATATATAATAAGTAAATTCAATAGGCTCTATAATTGATTTAAATTGTAACTATCTAAAACTAATTTCCAACAATAAACAAAAATTTCAATTATAAAATAAAGCCAAAAATGAAAGATAAATATTCCAATTAGGTGGCTATATTAAAATGACTAAATGGAATTAAAATACTCATAAATTAATTTATTTGCAATTCCCGTATGTTAAATTTAATATATCGCAGTGTGATAATATATTTAATATACCTTTTTATTATGCTATAAAATACAGTCGTATATTATTTTAAAGTATACGACATATATAACTTGTTTTTATTAATATTAATAAACCTGCAATTATATATAACATTTTAAGATACATATGAGTATATTACATTTAAAGTATGTATATATGATTGATATTTTTTATGTAAATATCGTCGTCGTAAAAACTCACGTTTTTGTCAGTACACTGGTTTTTGTACGTAAAATAGTTTTAACAATTAAGAAAAATTAATACTGTAAACTAAAATTTCTGTTAATTGCTGTTAGAATGTTATTTGTTCATGTCTCTATAAGGAAAATTACACTGTGCTAGTTCAAAAAATGAATAAACTGGGCATATAGTGTATTAACCCTTAGACAGTAAGGTGATTTTTGACCTACGTTGACTGTAATCATGGGTCACTCGTGTCCGACGCTTTAAAAAGTGCTTTAAAGTGCTTTAAGGTATTAGTCGCGCGCCGGCTCTAACCAAAAGTTTGTCTTGAGTCTGACTCAGTCTGTGCTTAGCAAGAGGTATAGTTCTGAGTCAAACTTTTTGAAGGGTACAGGTAAGTTTCACTCAGAGCGCCGCGTTCTCGCACGTGTAGAACTAAAGTTTTGATCGCGGCAACGTCGCAATCTGAATATTATTAAAAAAAATTCAAATATGCTTCTTTAAAAGCTATTTTTGAATTATTTATGATTAATAATTATGTATATAAATGCTTAAACTTTTTAAAAGTATGAGACTTACTAAGAATAATTAATAATTAAAGATGTGAATATTATTAAAAAAAATTCAAGTATGCTTCTTTGAAACTAATTTTTAATTATTTATAATTAATATTTACATCAATAATGTATTATAAATTGGTTTATAAAGTAAAAAATAAATATTTCATCAAAAAATGTTTTTATTTCTTAACTGTTGAAATATAACCAACCAATTTAACGTTTCTCATTCTTATTTTTCTTAAAATATATGATTTAATTTAAAAAATTGAGAATTACTTAATACTAATCTATGTTGTGAAATTTTAAATATATTATTTTTTTATTCTACTCTATGAGATATTCCTACTTTCTAACTGTGTACTTTGCATGATTTTGAATTTTGTATGCATTCGCGCGCTACAGCGTTGCCAAGTTTACTGCTTTCCAGCAGTGGAACTTCATATAATTTAAAATTTTGTTAACTTTCTCCTAATATATTTATAGTTTGGTACGGTCAAAAAATTTCAGTTTTTTTGTAGGCATTCGTTTCATGAGAATGTATTATGTGGTAGTTTTATTTTAAAATCTGACGACTGGTTTTCATTTAAATAATTATAAAGCAAATTCCTTACATGCATTAGGTGCTCCGTCCATGTAAAAAGTATCAACTTTGAAATGATATTTTAAAGCTTAGGAACGGTCAAAATCGATGGGATTGGTCTTATTTTGTAGATAATTATGTCAGAAACACTCATGCAAAATTTAAAAAATATCTGACGAAAATGATTTTACGCGACTAATACCTTAAATATCGGACAATATTTATAATTTTGCATTAACTATCCTAGAATAAGAACCAATCATTATATTGTTGAAATTTTCATTTGTTTAAACAAACAAAAACAGAAAAAAAATTGTTTTTTATCAAAAAATCATAACTTTTAATAAAATCAATATTTTTTAAAATTTCGAACGTGAGAGTAAAGCTTAAGAGTGATAGTTTAAGGGAAAAAATACTGAAAATCTTTATAAATAAAATAAATGCTTAAGTTTTGAGAATGAAAATCATGTTTTTTCAATGTACGTGAAAAAGGTACAAATTACAATAAATGGAAATATTATTTTTTAATCTTTATTAACTTTAAAAATTACAATTAAATGACATTGTATTATTTTTTAATTTTTATTAACATTAAAATTTTTTTTTAAATCGTCATTTTATAAAAAATAAATAAAAATCGTCTAAAAATAAACATCAGAACTAAAAAATAAATTATTTAACAAAAAAATCAAAATTTAAAATAAAAACTAGAATTTAGCAAAATAGTTATTTATGATACAAGTGCGTAAAGTGAGTGATTATACGAGTGTGACGTTTGCAGCACGAGACGAAGCCGAGTGGTGCAAATCACACGAGTATAATCAGATTTACGCACGTGTATCACACAATATTTTTTTCATCACCCACCTCTAAAGTTAAGTACCTATTATGAAGAATTCCAACTTTCTATTAGAATAATTTCGATTGTATAGAATTAAATAAATCAATCGAAGATCAGGAAAAATATCATTAAGCAGGAGTGTATAAATTTAAAAGTAAAGTTCTTTTTTTAATTTTGTAGTTTTGTATGGTCTAAAATAATCCTTATATTATGTGAGAAAAATTTCGGTGCGTAAAGTAAATTTCAGTGCGTAAAGTGAATCACTTTACTCACCGTTTGAAAAAGAGCTTCTTTACACACACATTTCGGTGTGTAAAATTTAACTTTAGAGGTTAGTGTTGCAAAAAATACTTTACTTAACATTCCACACTTTGGCACTGTAAACATGGGTCACTCGTGCACTTTTCAAAATACGATTGGTTCCTGTAACTACTGTTTATACATTAAACCTTTGGCACTTATGGAACATGTAACTCATTAATGTACAATTTTTTACAATATAGTTTGACCGACCTCCCTCATCCGAGATAGCAAGAGGTGTCACTTTTTCAAAGGCACGAGTGACCCATGTTTATAGCTTACGGGTGAACGTAATTTGGTACTGGATTGATACCTTTGTTTTTCATGGAATCATATTATTTTCATACATTATTATATATATGATATGTCCTATGGCAGCTAAATTCAAAACTGATGTCCATTTTTTGTCAAACTTAAGGTAAAGTATTATTATAATTTAATTTTTGCTTTTAAAAAATTAATATTAAAAATGTAGTTGTCACAGCTTGTCTTCTATGAGATGTCAGGAATGAGCCGTTTTCTTTTTCTCATTTATACTTGATATTATTTGTAATACACCCATTTAAAATTGTAAAATTTTATTACTATCAAAATTGCGTAAATAAAAAATTACGCCCTGAAAAACATCATATGAGGATCTTGTTCTCTATGATCAAATTCCAGAACTTTTAACAATCGTATTTTAAATTCACCATGTTCTCGGAAGATAAATTCAATTCTTGAGTTTCAGAATCCTCTTCTTCAACATTTTCTTCTAAGTTCACACTGTCCGCTGTTTCTGTAGATTCGAACACTTTAGACAGGAACAATAGTTGGTCATGGAAGACATATTTTTTCGATGTCGATGCACCAAAGCCACTTCTTTTACTGCTTTGCAAGTTCTTTTTAGACCTTACAAAGGAATTGCGAAGATTATTCTTCCTTTTCATAACGACGTTAACTGCAACAATAAAAGTGAAATATTGCTATAAAACAAACAGTGAAAATAACTATTTTTTTAGGTATCTTGCAAGCGGATGTACTTTTACTGATCTGCACTACAACTTCAAAATTGGCATTTCAACGGCAAAAAAGATAGTTACAAAAGTTTGCTCACCAATCTGGTTAATCATGTAAGACGAATGCATCCCTGAACTTACAACAGAAAGATGGGAAACAATAAGTTCAGTTTTTGAAAAGGTTGCAAATTTTCCACATTGCCTGGGTGCAGTTGATGGAAAACTTATTCGATTGGTTTGTTTTTTGAAAAGTGTATCCATGTATTTCAACTACAAAGGATATTTTTCCGTGGTTTTAATGGCAGTTGCAGTCTCTCAATACCGCTACAAAAAAGGAAGTCTCTGGAAAGGGATTGAATCTAAATCAATCCAATTGACAGAAGAGAAATGTTTAAGAGGCACAACAAGAAAGTGCCCTATTTTCTAGTTGAAGATGAAGCATTTGGGCTACATAAACATTTACTGAGGCCATATAGGGGATCAAATTTAACGCTAAAAAAAAGAATCTTCAACTACAGATTATGAATGTTGAATGTGCTTTTGAAATTTTAACCAATAAATGGCGAATTTTCCACCGTCCTCTGAACCTACGTTTGGCTTTAGCTATTACTATTATCAAAGCTTGTGTTGTTCTTCACAATTTTGTCCGTGATAGGGACGGATTTGTGCCAGAGCACACTGAAACAATCGTTGGATTTACCAGCCGATGACTCTGTACGAGGTGGTATTGCAGTAAATACTGTCAGAGACGTATTAAGCAATTCTTTGTATCAAATAATGGCTCTGTACCTTGGCAAATAAACAAAATATAATTTCGATAATAGTTTATTTTCTTTAACCCTTTAAGGACGGGGCGGGCACTTTTCTACACTTAGAGGACATGGAGTAGATATAAAATTTGACATACTTACTGTACGTGGATTTCTTTCCGCCATCAATTGTAATGAAATCCGCATTTAATAACTCGCACACTTGTTGCCATGCACTTCTCCTTTCATTTCGATTTTTATATAAATCCACTATTTTATCTCAAAGAGCTAGTCTTATTTGAACTAAAGGAATTAATATATCATTGTCTACGTTTTCACACATTTTGTCCGTGAACTGAACGCGGCAAATGCACGAGAACTACTGACAATTAACAATGGAAAATCGTTTACTGCAAAATACTGCACTAATGACAACCTAATAATATTTTCATTATGGAGTTAACAAACACACCTTTTCTGAAAGCTGTTCAATGTCAAAAAGTATTTTACCTCTATGGTTTTGAAAAAAAATTGTTAAAAAAAATTAATTTGTTTACACAAATTGTTATAAACAAATAAGAAAAACATTTAAATTTTTCATTTGTCTAATAGAGTTCACGTCGAATTGGAAAAACTAACTGAATCTATGAACGTCGAACGACAAATTGTCGGACAGTGTGCAAGCATTCATTGCTTTCCATAACACAATTGTAAATTCCCGTATAAGATCACTTATGGTTTCTCATATGAGATACTACATGAGATCTTACGAGAATCCTATATGGAAACTCATGAGAAAAATCTCATGAGTGTCCATATAGAATTCTATATGAGATATCACATAGGATCCCACATGGGATTTTAAAATTCAATTAACTTCACACTTAATATTTACCATGAGTTTTTATATGAGTGAATCTAACTGAATAAAGAAATTTTTTGTTTGAGACAGCTGCTGTACCAAAATTTTTTCAGTGTAGTAGTTATTTTTTTAAAAATATGAGACATATTTTAGGTTTTAAACATAAAATATTTTTGCTTTGTTTAAAATGAACTCAAAATTTTGTCCAATTTTGCGTGTCTCTCACTGTTTTTGAGATATTCACAAATTTTATTTTTCAAATTTCGACCCCATATGAGATCCTATATGGAATCCTGTATGGACACTGATGAGATTCTTCTTACAAGATGTCCTTTTAAGATTTCGTATAGAATCTCATGTCACTTCTATAACTGACGGGCTAAAGCGAATCAGATGGGAAAGTTGTCTGCTTAAAAAAAAGTCAAATATTTTCCAAGACAAAAATTTTTATTTGCAAATCGAAACCTGTTGGTAATTTTTAAACTTTAGCCAATAAAAAATTAACGAAAAAGTTAAAAAATCAACTAAAAATATTGGAAGTTTTTTAGTCTTTTAAGATTGTATTACATTATATATTGTAAAGATTGTAAAGATATGATTTTCAGCTTTAGAATTAAAAAATTGAAATCAAACTAAAATTAAGAAAATTAGGTTTCTTACACATCAACATCAATAAAAACGGTATTTAGTTATAAGATGAGGTTTTCAGTGTGTTCGAATTATTATATATATATATACAATTCTTTTTAGTTTGTATTACCCATGCACCCTCCACTAGGTGTAATATAAAGTTCTTTAATTTCGTTTTTTATATTACAATGTTATTTCTAGAAGAGGAAATTTTACGAATTAAAGTATACAATTCTACGACACACTCGCAAAATCTGTATTTGCTAAAATATTTTCCTTCTAAAAGATTCTTTCATTTTCGTGTCGTTGTTGAGTAATGCAAGAATAATGGATTTTTATATTCTTATTATTTACAATTTTTATTAAACTTTCTAATAGGCAGACTTATTTGCTTGATATCCATCTGAGAAAAGAAAATGTATCATTACATTAATTCCTGATAATATCTATATAAAAATGAGGTATTTGAAAAATTTAATTAATTAAGATTTCAGATATTCAAAAGAGACAAGAAAAAGTGTGCAAACTAGAGCAAGTGATATATGAATTACGCATTAATTTTAAAAGACGGAACGAAAAAATTACAGAAGCATTTTTAAAGATACACTTGAAAACTTCAAATGTAGATTGACATTATTTCAAACTATTTAATGATTGTATTTAATAAATCTTATTCTTACATTTTTTATTAGTATTTTTATATAATGAATCTATGAAACATTTAAATATTTTTTTAAATAATTTTTACCTTAGTTTTTTTTTACTTTATTTCACAATGGTTAATGGATTCCATATAATAGCCAATGTGTCAATGTTCTTAATTTTTTTTCTTCGTGTATATCATCATTAACATTAACAATTTTTTCAAATTTATGTCTTTCGTTTGAGCTCCATTGGTCTAACGGGTTCATAGACTGCAGTATCATGCTTGGTATAATTATGTCATAATACAAGAAAATCTGAAATTTAATACCAAATATTTTAATTAATTCTACGTTTCATTATTAAAAGTAATAATTTATTTTCCTATTGTAATTACAAAGTAATTTAAATTATATTTGAAGACAGTAATCTTCTTACATCTGAAGTGCATGCAATTTTTTTCGAGTAACCAGAGACAATGCAAATAAACTTAAATCCCTAGTTGATAAACTTCTAGAATCTTCTTACCACTGCCAAAAAGTTTTGAATTAAAATTTTTCATCAGATAGCAGTCACAAGAAGAAAAGAATAAAAACTTCGTATATCACGAATGGTTTTATAGGATAAAGATATTTTTACTAATAATATTAATAATAATTATAAAGAGGAGGCCTAAGACGATTGTTTGGTATTAAATGATAAATATTTATTACTGTTAATTAGTTCCGAAAAAACTGTTCTTTTTAAAGGATTAAAATATAGTAAAACCCCCGTATATCGAACCCGCATAATAATCCCTAATAACTTGTGTTTTCCGCATTAATCCTACGGAATTTGTTATGAAAAGGAATTTGTTTAATTCTACTAACAAGTATTATTCAGTCAAAACTTCCAAATGAAGAATTTCGTATAAAACAAAGTTAACAGACCTTATTATTAAATGTGTTGAAGACAAAAGAAGGTTTGGCAGTTTTTGAAGAAACATGATACATTCCTGTACAAAATGCTCTTACAGTTTGTTCAAACTGAAAACGCACACTGTTTCTCTGTTGATCAAGAATGTATGTTTGTCCATCCCATGTGCAAGCTATAATTTCATCAGCACCATCTCTTGTAACGTCTAATCGACATAAGGCAAAAATATGATGATCGACTTGCATTGACCTAAAAATGTAATATCGCTCATTTATAATTAAATTATGTTTTAACATATTTTTGACGTTTGCTCTTTTCTTGATGCAAAAAAATATGGATCATACCATAAAATTATTTCATTGCGAACAAGCATAATTGTGCCATCTAATGTTGCGAGAGCATAAGATTTTCCACTTAAATGTTCTTTTTGGTTTATATCTGTAGATTTATCATGTTCTTGAAATGTTTTTTTAATACATTTTATATCATTATTATTATTTAACAAATTATTGTTAGAGTAATTAGGTGTGTCATCGCAAAATATTGGTTCCTCATTACTTATAGAAATATATTCTCCTAAGATTACATTTCCGCCAACAGTATTTCCATCAACTTGATCAATTCCTTGCACTTTTTTCTTGTAACGAAGCCATGGAGAATCTTTTTTTAAAGACAATGAATCTTTTCCTAAAAATAAAATTGAAATTATAATAAACGAGGTTCAAAAATAGCTTACAGGAATCAAATCTCAATGGATTTTATTACACATTTTAAATGCAAGTAACAAAAATTGCATTTTGAAATTTTTGCGTTTTAAAGTTTTAAATATAATGTTAACATTCTAAAAATTATCTCAAATTATAATATAATTAATTAATTACATTGACAATAAAAAAATAATGTTTAAAAGGCGTTACTTAAACTACCTACTTATAAATAAATTCTATAAACAAATACCTAATTTTATCTTTCTACAGATAAATTGTTTAAAATTTAATTGTTGTCTATTCCACTTAATAAGAAATTAACATAATTTTCTTTGCAAATATTACTATATTCAAATAATTAAATAAGCAAATAAACATTTTTTTAATAAAAAATGTTTTTCTTCTTGAAATTACGTAATTTATTTTAATAGTGAAAGATATAAATACATTTAAATTTTAGAAGGTACTTAAAAATAAAAATTGAACATTTAGTTTTATTTCTGAATGTAATAAAGCAATAAATTTTGTAGAACAATAAAATAAAAAAATATAAATTCATGTGAGGAATGCAAATAGTTTTTAAAATAAGAACTCTAGTATTATTTGTTGAAGTGTGTATGTGTGAATAAGAAATCTGTGAAGAAACATGAAAATATGAATAAAAAAAAATAATATATTTATTAAAAAATAATACAATAATTTGTCTATACAACATGACCTTTTTCGAAATTCACATAATTCCATTGACCCGACATTTAACGAAAATATAAGAAAAAGAAAATAATAAATAATATTCTATTTTAGACGAATTCAGCAAACGCTAACGTATATTCTTATGCAAGCACGTAAAATAAATCGTGCTTTTCTATTAAAATGGCCATATGTGCCGACAAAATATAGAATCTAATGTGTAACAGTTAAGCCGAATGACATTATGAGTTTTATAAAGGTATTAATTTGCGCTGCATTAAAAGAATTAAAATTCTGTGCATTTCTTTCCGAGAGTTGTTTAAGTTCTAATAAAGCAATGTGCCTTACAAAATATATTATCGTTTAATTTCGAAATCTGAATCATTTTCTTTTACCAAACCAATAGGTTATGGTTCCAATCCAATTCCAAATTATGAGATATGTTAAAGTGTTGTTTAGTTTACTAGTTTATTTTGTAAGTGTATTCCAAGGAATTAAGTCGTTAATATTTATAAAAATTTTCTATGTCCCTTTTGACACACAGACAATACGAAATTATAAAATATATTTTATATTAAAGTAAAAATTATTTAAAAATCAATGGTAAAAGTTAAATAATCCTAATATTATTATTTTTCGAGAAAGTAAAAATTTTTGGAAATAAAAGTCAGTTAAAGGAAAATGATTGACATGTAGACAATGACATTGTTCTCGGCGAGCGTTAGAAACGGAATTAGAGAGAGAAAAATAGCTTTATCCTTAGATTATAATTTAAATGTAATTAGTTATCGAAAAATAGATGCCGCGAAAAATCCAAATAGAGGGAGAAATTGGCGATAAGAAATACATAGGGGAAGCACCCTGCGTAAAAGGGTGAGAGAAACTCGCGGATTCTCGCTCAATCAATTTAAAATTTCCTACTCACATTTGAATTTTACTTATCCCGAAAAATTAAAGGTAGAGACGCGACTATATAAGCCGAGGAAATGCACATTTCTGTCTCTTTTGATCTGAATAGTCAAGTCTTTTGAACTTGGAAGTACTGATTGCTAGGGGCTTTCTAACGATTTCTACACGGAAAGAAAAGGTATCGTTGTCCCCCTGGCGGATTCGATTTGCGTAATGTCTACTTAACTAAGCGGACTTTAGGTAGACATTAGGTAGACATGTAAAAAAACGTATAAAAAAGCTATTAATCGACTTATTATGATAAAAAAAAGTTGATAAAAGTGTAAATGAATGTTTATAGAGTAAATTCGTACAAAATTTGTAATTAATAAAGCAATAAATAATTAATAATGAATGGAAATGTGCGCGAGGTACCTGATCAGTTCAGCTGTACAATTATTTTCGTGCTATTTTCATGAAAAGAATATAAATTAACGGCAAAAACAATTGATATTTATAAAAAAGTGTAAAATTGATTTAATTTTATTGTTTGCAATACGAATTATTAAATAATAATTAAGTTTTTATCAAATGTGAATAGTGTTGTGAAAACCTGTGAAAACTAATGAGTTACTACATTACCGATCGCATATGAGAGATGGCGCCACCAGTTTTTACAATACAGTGCGAGCATGTTTTCTTCCAAGCTTTTGCTTTGAAAGAAAATAAAAAGTGAATTTTAAAATGCAGAATAAAGTTATACAAATAATTATTGATTTCATAATTGTTTCTCGTCCAAAATTACGGACATGATTGCAGCTTTTTTGTTACACTCATCGAGAACTTTTTATTATCATATGCGATCGGTAATGTAGTAACTCATTAGTTTTCACAACACTATTCACATTTGATAAAAACTTAATTATTATTTAATAATTCGTATTGCAAACAATAAAATTAAATCAATTTTACACTTTTTTATAAATATCAATTGTTTTTGCAGTTAATTTATATTCTTTTCATGAAAATAGCACGAAAATAATTGTACAGCTGAACTGATCAGGTACCTCGCGCACATTTCCATTCATTATTAATTATTTATTGCTTTATTAATTACAAATTTTGTACGAATTTACTCTATAAACATTCATTTACCCTTTTATCAACTTTTTTTTATCATAATAAGTCGATTAATAGCTTTTTTATACGTTTTTTTACATGTCTACCTAATGTCTACCTAAAGTCCGCTTAGTTAAGTAGACATTACGCAAATCGAATCCGCCAGGGCCCAACCATAAAAATATTGTTGGTCATAATATTGTTGAGGCATCCATACATATAGCTTAAGCAGCTTTCAGTATGGATACATTGACAAAAAATAATGGTTGTGTCAACCATATAATATTTGTACCTATGATATGGATATATCAACCATAGCTTTAGTTGAGGTAACAATACTGGTTCGGATTTTAACAATTTTGTTATCCTATCCATTTTTGAATTGCTAAGGCCCCTATAGACGCCTGCGCACCTTGTCTGCGCGGTGCTGCAATATATTACATCTATATTACTCGCATTAATTCCAAGCGTCGCGAAACGTGTATATGTTCGCAGTCCTAAACATTTTCTATAATCATTTAAGAATTATATTGATCCCGGTTAATGTGTTTTTAAGTTAAAAAATGGAAGCTGAGTGCATTGATTTCCTTAAAAAAATAGGCTTCGAAGTTGACTGCGTCCTTTTAAACAATTTACATTCACCTTTCCCAGTCATAATTTGTAAATGGGGAAATTCTTCAATGTTTACGACACTTAGGCACGCACTATAATTATAATACTATAATAAAAGGTGCGATACGATTGTTTATTTTGTTAACGAATTTGTATTTGGCGATTATTTCAAAAAAATGAATACGTTTTTATAGGACTCAATGTTTTAAATTAATCAAAAACAACCTTATTGATAATATTAAACAAATAAAATAAACATAAATTGTAACCATATAAAATGGTTGCTTCAACAATATTAATATGGTACACTATAAATAATGGTCGAAGCATCAATTAAAAATGGTTGTCACATCCATATTAGCATTTGTATGTTTTCCAAATATATGGTTCCCACAGCCATATATTCTAGTTATGCTAACAATTTAAAGCTAGCTATTTAATATGGCTGGAGCAACCGGAGGTATGGTTGGGACGTATTTTTCAATATAATATGGTTGAGACAACCAAAGGTATGGCTGTGGCAACCATTGATTTTTTTCCGTGTACCAATGCGATCAGTATCTTCTGGGAGAAAAAGATAAAAATGATTTAATCGTAAAAAGAAATTATTTTTTAAAATTATTGATTTTGTAAAACCAAATGTCAGGAGCTTTCGTAAGATATCTACCAACAAGAGTGGTTTGCAAACTTAATAATAAAAATTACTCACGGAGAAAAATCACTCGTCAGTAGCTTTCTAACGATTTCTACCAACACGACTGATTTTTCAAAGTAGTAATAAATAAATTTTATTATTCAACTACAATGTACAAAATCAAATAAGCAAATCTTCAAAGTCAAGCCACGGAGAATCAATGGTCAGGAGTTTTCTATAACGATTTCTACCATCACTATTGATTTTCCAAGAGTGATATCAAAGATTAAATTGTAATTCTTGTTTAATATTCTTATAAACCATATGAATTGAAATAGGCGATCCACATGACAATTTGAAAGATTAAAGCATAAGAGATGATCCCCATAAACCCAGATGTTAGTTAGATTAGGATATAAGTAATTTATTTAATTTAATTATCTAGCAGGGTTTTTCCGAGATAAATTCATTAAAGTTAAGTGAAAATATAGTAATTGAGCCTCCAAATTCTATAATTCGCCCGACGCTCGGACGGACGCTCTATTGGTAGTCGGGTAGAAGCGAGCGTCAATGGCTCTCTCGCTGCTACCCGACTACCAATAGAGCGTCCGTCCGGGCGTCGGGCGAGTTATAGAATTGGAAGGCTCAATTTAACAATTCATTGTTAAATTATAGTAAATGAATTTAAGTTTAATTCTTTTATACAAAAAGAGAAAAGTAAGACCAGAATTAGGTGAAACTAACCCTTAAATTTAGGTTAGGTAAAAATTTATATTATTGTTTAAAATAATTTGTTTAAAAAATGTCTTTTTTACAACACATGAACGTTTCTCGCGTTCTTTTTAACCCCGCCTAACACAAGAAATCTAACCTTTCTTGTCCGCCGGGATTTTTTTTTCCCTAGGGAAGAGAAAGAGGGAAAATAAGACAAATTCAGCTGTAAAAACTGAAAAAATCGCATCACTGTTGTGAGAACAATGTTTTTGGAACAGATTTATCTAACCTCGACAACCATTCAACCAATCAAAAACGATGTC